AAATAAAAAATGTTTATAATAAAAAGAATGTTCTTGGATATAAAAAATATGATATAAATCTCTTTAAAATTAATGTTGCTTCAAAAGTTGCCATTCCATGCAGTATTATATATTGGATAAATTGCGTCATAATCTATTACATTATTGCATGGTGGTTGATTAAAACCTTGAAGTAGATCAAATTCTTGCTGAGGTTGAAATATGAATCCAGTTGCATTATAATTAACTTGTGGAATAGCCATCTGGGTTTGAATAGGAACCGAAGATGCATTCAAATTTGGATGATATAAAGACCCACTCTTAGAACGTGATGATGGTCGGTACCTGTACCCTGGATATTTCTGAGAATGTAAACTTTGAACATCAAGTGCCAATTGCTCATATGCCTCCTTTGGAAAGAGAAAATCGGAATGATGCGTTCATAAATCAATACATACATACAAGACATACATACATACATACATATATATAGATATATATATATGCAATAATATTAGATAGAAAGTTTAAGAAATACCTTTTCTTCTGCCGAAGCTTCTCTCCATAACATCCCAGTAACTTTTGATATTACACGCATATTACAAGTTCCTTTTAATCTAGCTTCCCTATGAACATTTTTGCGACATAATAAAAATCCATTTGGTGGTCTTCTTGTACGTGTGTCAGATTTTGTTATACCTATTAAATCTTCTGGTTTATTAATAGCTGGAGGAAAAATATTACTTCTGTCCAAATTTTTGATCAGATTTTGTGCCAAATCGTTCAGAGATGATGTATGCATAGCCATTATAAATTTCTAATTTTTTTTGATCAATGAGATTCGCGATAAAGATGTAAGACTTGTTTTCTTTTTGGTTTGTAAAAAAAAAAATATATATATATATATTGATATATTATATTGATTATTTGTATGAAGAGGTTGTGTGTTTTTTTTAAAAATGTTTTTCAAATATTTTTAAATATTATGCCGACTAATTTCTATGGGGAGGCAATTTTTTTTTATAAGATATCCTCGGATTATAATTCCGAAGCCAGGAGTACAAAAAACTGCATTCATCACGAGGCATGAGTATACTGATTACTAAATCTGCATTGTGTTCCTGCACTTTTTGGGCGTATACGAAAGAAACTGATGGGATTTATTCACTTAAAGTAATTGTTTTAGGTGATTTATCAATGCATAAATGCA